TGAACGCTTCCATTTGCTTGGGGTTTACTTGTGTTTTCCAGAAAGTTGCATTACCCTGGTCTTTTATTGTGCGGATACAGCCGGAATCACAAGGGAAAGGGACCCATCTTCTGCCTGTTGTTTTCATTTCCCTGTTTTCTTTAGGCAAGTTCCCTAGAGCTGCAGTCAGGGGGGCTGCTGCCGGGACTTGAGCTGGAGCGCGTAGGGCACGCGTCCCTCGGCGTGGCCAAGCAGAGCAGGTCTCCGGTGTGGCTCCCGGGATAGCTGCTTGCAGCTTCCAGCAGTAGGCCGCCAAAGCCTGAGCTGCTTTTCCGTGGAGACATCCTTATTCTGGCTTTCTCCAACCTAGATAACCAGTTCAGGATGTCAATACTGGAGCGACTTGAGCAGATGGAGAGGAGAATGGCCGAAATGACAGGCTCCCAGCAGCACAAACAAGGAGTAGGAGGCGGGAGCAATGGGAGTGGGAACGGAGGAACGCAGGTGCAGGTACGAACCCCGCTGTGTCCAGGCACGGCAGCTTTATGCTTTCTTACCAGAGCTTGTTTTTGGGGGTGGGTTGGAAAGGATTATAGTTTTTCCTAAACAACAAGTCTGGTTTGTGGGTGTCTTTAACAGCAGTTGGCTTTCGCTGGCCTTTGCCACTGTCTGGGTACTTCCAGAAGTGGAAGGCTGCCTGCTCAGAGCAGGTTGCAGCTCCCTCAGTGGTTAAACTGGGATGTGTGTGGTGTTTCAGTGCGTTTCTGGGACTGGGACACTGGGCAGCTGCTTTGAGAGCCGCGTGGTGGTGGTGTGCGAGAAGATGATGAGTCGTGCTTGCTGGGCAAAGTCCAAACACTTGATCCATTCAAAGACTTTCCGAGGAATGACACTGCTCCACCTAGCCGCTGCCCAGGGCTATGCTACACTGATCCAGACCCTCATCAAATGGCGGTAAGACCCAGCCCGTTGGACTCTTGGGTGTCAGTACAGGCATGGCAGAAGCATACGTAAGCTCTGCGTGGTTTCCGGCTGGCCGTGACAAACAGCCAAGTCCCTGCGCTTGTTCCTGTCCCCTGATCTGACAGGAACTGTCTCTTGGGGGAGTGAGTCCCATCACTGGATGGATCGTGCTCTTAGAGTCTCTGGCGGGGACACCATCGGTAGTAAATACGTGTGTCACCGGCATGTGCGTGGCCGCTTCCTTGTGCTGCGGTGCCTTAGGTAACGCCGCGCGTTTAGGCAGCAATCCTGACGTGGCCACAGAGCATCACGTGTTCTGTTGTTTCCTCTGCAGCACCAAACATGCAGACAGCATCGATCTGGAGCTGGAAGTTGACCCTTTGAATGTGGATCATTTCTCCTGCACTCCTCTGGTAAGAGCAGACTGAGATTTCCGAGAGAGTCTGAGGACCCTCTGGAGTTCTTCCCGAGGTGTGATTTTTCCTAAAGTGTCTCACGCTCTGAAGAGTCGATGTCGCTTGCGTGTCCTTGCTGTGTGAGTGGTAAGACACAGCACTATCAGCCTCCTGGCGTTTTGTTGAGAGAGACCGCACAGAAAAAACCCGTCGTTCCGTGGCGTGAGGAAAGGGGACAGACGGGTGATTCTGGTTTGCATTTTACCCAAAATCTAGTCTCACTATTGTGCTGGGGAGAGGACTCTACATGCCTGTTTTCAAGTTGTTCTCTTTGATTGCCTGTAGAGGCTGTTAAGCCATCACAGTATCTTGGTCGCTGGAATGGTGACCCTCTGTAACAGCCTTTTGTCAGGGTAAGACGTTTATCAAAGCCAGGTGCTGGGGTTCGAGCATGTCATGGTTTTGCTGGCAGAGTTGTTTGTCCGTGAGTGGAGAGCAGATTCTGCTGCGTTAGCAAGGAAGGAGGGAGAAGGCAGGTCGCCCAACAGGCCAGTTGTCTTTTTCTCTTTCAGATGTGGGCATGCGCCCTGGGCCACATGGACGCAGCCGTTGTGCTGTACAAGTGGGACCGCCGAGCCATCTCTATTCCTGACTCCCTTGGGAGACTGCCACTGGCCATTGCCCGCTCTCGGGGCCACGTGAAGTTGGCAGAGTGCTTGGAGCAGCTACAGCGAGATGAGCAAACCCAGCTCGGGCCAAATCCCAGGATGCAGTGCCCCTCGAGCACAGACTCCAGCGCAGACAGCTGGGTGTCCCAGTGGCAGAGTGAGCTTATTGCCTCTCAGGAGCCTCAGAAGGGAGTCACTGTGATTTCCAGTACAAACACAGGTAAAACCAACTGAGGGCGTGCGCTGCTTTGCTGGCGTTGGACGTGTGGGAGCCTGGGGGCAAGGAGCTCACCCGGGCAGCAGATGCTGCCGGTAGCCCTGCTGTCCCTGCTGAATTCTTTCCTTGCGGGCTCTCCGTCATGTCCCTGCGCTGGCGTAAGTGAAGAGGAGTGAATACCTGCTGTGAAACAACATGCGTGTCTCGAGTGGTTGAGGTCGTGTCCTCCCTGGGTGACAGTTACTCCCTTGGCACGTGCTGTCGGGTGTCCTAGCGCATGGCAGAAGCCGTCATTCCTACAGCGCTCGTGTTTCATTTTGATCATCAATCTCTGTCTTTCCAGAGCTGAGACGACCAAGATCAGAACCTTCCAGTTACTACAGTAGTGAGACTCAGAAAGATTACCCTGCACCCAAAAAACATAAGCTGAGCCCTGAATATTTTCAAGCCCGGCAAGAGAAGCTGCTTTCCACTGCACTGAGCCTGGAACAGCCGAGCATCAGGAAGCAGAACTCCAGCTCCAAGCAATCCACCACTGAGACAATCAGCCCCAGTGAAGGGATAAGGGACTATGGCCGGGAGCTCTCCCAGCACATCCCAGAAGTTACTGGGTACCGGGGCTCTGGCAGCCAAGCAGGCATCAAATGGAGCCCAAAAGACGTTTATGTTGGCGTGTCTGCAGTGCAGGTGGCGGGGGGCCAGAAGGGCGCCGCGCTAGGCAAGGACGCGGTAGCCCATCGGCTACGCCAGCGAGAGCAGATGAACGTGCTGATGATGGCGGACAGGGAGATGGTGGACGCGGAGCTCCTGTCCTACAGGGACAGCGCCGGGGACGAGGACTGCTTGCACCACATGGATGACTTGCAGGTGAGCGTTCCCCTCGCACCGAGGTCCGCAGTCTGCGAGGCTGCGCAGAGGAGTGACTGTGAGAAACTGCGGGAGGGGGACTCCGGGCTGCGCTCGGTGTGGGGCGGTGGTCCTACAGCCCATGTGTGCTGTCTCCCGCTTTCAGAGGGTGTCCTTCCAGCACGGGCAGAAGGGCTAACGGTTAGCGTTTAGGGTCGTGCGTTGGCCTACGCCTCCGCGGCGTAGAGAGCGCCCAAGATTGCGATATTGCAAGGAAACAGGGAAAGCAAAGCCTCCGGTCCAAGGTGGCCCCAGAGTCCTTTGGGAACAGCAGCCCCTACGGAGACAAGGTGACCCGGGAGGCAGTGCTGTGCTTGCAGGCCAAGACACTGGAGATAAGCGGAGAAGGGGGGAGACATTGGGGAAGGAAAAACCCCACCAACTGTGGACTAGGGGAAATAAAACCAGAACTGAAGCAGGACAGACAGATGAGCAGTGGTCACTGGGGAGAGGTACTGTGTTTGGTCTCGGGGCGAGAGGAGCAGTGGGAGCACAGCCGGTGCGCGCTGCCTTGGCACCTCCAAACGTGCTCATCTTGCTGGTGTCAGGGGTGCGGCAGGTCTTGGCCAAACAAGGGCTGTTCTACAATCAGCAATTCCTGCAACCCTTGGGTGGGGGGATGTGATTCAGAGGGGTTCCTGAGGAGCTGCGGTCCCGAGGGGTTTAACTTCTCGTGATGTGCCTCTGCTGTCCTGTCCTGCTCTACTGCACATCGTGGTGGGAGTGGCAAGATCCTTTTCCTTTGGGAACCGGGCAGTGAAACAAGCTGTCAGTGGTTACAGTGAAGGTCCAGTGACTTAAACCTCTCACCATTTCTCTTGGGCTCCCCGGACACTCAGCAAAAAGGAGGTTTGGGGAATACAAAATCCTGCAGTGCTCTGTCAGAGGAGACTGGAGAACAAATGAGCTTTGGCTAATGAATTTCTCTGTAGTGCTGAGACAGACAGTGGACTCCAGCTCCCCCAAGTCTGGGGCAAGCGGGGCAGTCGGCTATGAGGTGCAAGGCTCCCGCTACCCCGTAGTGCAAGTTTGGGCTTGTTCAGCCTGGAGAAGAGAAGGCTCGGGGGAGACTTTATAGCACCTTCCAGTGCCTGAAGGGGCTACAAGGAAGCTGGGGGGGACTTTTTACAAGGGCAGGGAGTGACAGGACAAGGGGTAACGGGTTTAAATTGGAAGTGGGGAGGGTTAGATTGGATATCAGGAAGAAATTCTTCCCAGAGAGGGTGGGGAGCACTGGGACAGGCTGCCCAGAGAAGCTGTGGATGCCCCATCCCTGGAAGTGTCCAAGGCCAGGCTGGATGAGGCTTGGAGCAACCTGGTCTAGTGGAAGGTGTCCCTGCCCATGGCAGGGGGGTTGGAACTAGATGGTCTTTAAGGTGCCTTCCAACCCAAACCATTCCATGATTCTGTGATTCTAAGTTTGCTCTCCTCTGCCCCTCCCCAGGTGAACATGATGACGCTTGCGGAGCACATTATCGAAGCTACGCCTGACAGGATCAAGCGGGAGAATTTTGTGCCAATGGAGTCGCCGCTGGTGGAGAGAACGGACAGTGCTGCCATGAGCACCACGATGAGCTGGCTGGCCAGTTACCTCGCTGATGTCGACCACCTGCCGAGCGCTGCACAGATAAGGTCAGGAAGGGCTGGGAAGTTGTCTGGGGGTTCCAGGGGTGTGAATGCTGGGCAGCGCGTGCTCTGTCTTCGGCCTCCAGATGCTGTTTCTCAGTGGGACTCGGTGCTGGTGTTCCCAGCCCAGCCGTGCTCTCGGGGTCAAACCTATGGTTGCCAGCACAGCTGCAAATTCATGGAAGAATGGGAATGCATGCAGAAGGAGGCAGGAGGGGAGAGTGGCCACAGGGTCTTGACTGGTGACATCTTTTCCAGTGCCAAATCCGTGCAGTGTGGTACAGGCAGGCTTAGGAACATGGGCTGTTGCTTGGAGAGCGGGAGGGGAGCACGAGCCTCTGCCTTGAGGTCGGGAATGTTGTCGTTACCTGTGACGCCAGCCCAGGTGCTTTGTGAGCCAATAATTCCTACTGTGATTGGTATTTCAGAAGTCTGTATAGTGAACCCCTGACCCCTTCTTCGAACACCAGCTTGAGCCCCGCAGGCTCACCAATCAGCGAAATAGCTTTTGAGAAACCCAGCCTTCCCTCGGCAGCAGACTGGTCTGAATTTCTGAGTGCATCCACCAGCGAGAAGGTAGAAAATGAGTTTGCACAGTTAACTCTGTCGGATCACGAGCAGAGGGAACTCTATGAAGCTGCCAAACTCGTCCAGACAGTGTTCAGGAAATATAAGGTAGGTGGCCAAAACGTCCCATGTCGTCTTCGTTAGGTGTGTGATATAATTTGTTACAGAAGAAAACGTGGGTAATTCCCATCCCTGGGGCAGAAATCCCATCTCTGCCGTAACCTTTTCCGTGCTCCGAGCGTTTCCTTGTTGAGGTTTAGCCATCAGCTGCCATACTGGAGAGAGCAAGCCATGCCATGCCGTAGCGTGCCAGCACAGCACTCGCATGTCCACAGTACATGCCCCAGAGGGTCTGGCTAGTTGCTTGCTTGGTGTAAAGGTGAATTTTGAGGGCTTGTCCCTCGGGAGAGTTGACATGGAGCTATCTCCAGGACCTGAATCAGGCTGACCGGGGAATAGGTGCCCTGCAAGCTGCTGTGAGCCCCTTAATGTCATGCGTCCAGGTTTTTGGTGCCCTCTGACTGCTTCTCCTTTCCTTTTCCGCGCAGGGTCGTCCTCTCCGGGAACAGCAGGAGGTGGCTGCCGCTGTTATTCAGCGTTGCTACCGAAAATACAAACAGGTAATCAAGGCAGTGCCATCTTACGAAACGCAGAAGTGTCATGAACACAGCCCTTTGTCACGGGTATT